GTTTCAATTAGGTGATGCTATATATGTCTAAACTTCTTTTACATTTTACAGACTTACAAAAGCTTGTTCTCTGTCCATTATTGTTTCAATTAGGTGATGCTATATATGTCTAAACTTCTTTTACATTTTACAGACTATGTATGTACTGCTAAAGAGCAAATCAGAGCAAGAACGCAAGCTGCTATCTTCACTAGTTAACAAAGTAAGTTGATATTGAATTAGTTGAACTCGTTTTTGTCTCTGTTGGAGCCATAAACATTGCAGCATCTTTTCAGGCTGTTTTAATTTTGTTTCTTTATATTTTGGTTATCTACAGCTTGGAGATCCTCAAAATAAGGGTGCATCAAATGCTGACTTTTACTTATCAAACCTTCTATCTGATCACCCTAATATGAAGGTACAATTTCTCATTCTTGCTCTCTATAGTCACTTGTTGGGGTGTTTGGATGTTGCATGATGCACTCTAAGTCAAAAGGTGAGGGTTTTGCTTTGAAGTAGGATATATTTCAAACCTAGCTAAATTTATAGTTTAGGATCATTGGTATGCAAGAGCAATAGCCTCTTCCCTTGGCTATGGAAGGTGATAGTAGACATAATTGTAGGACCAAAAATATAAAACTATTGAAAAGAATGTACAAGTATAATCAATGGTGTTATTGCCTGCATATCTTATTGAAAGAACAATTTTCAGGCCATTTGCATGGTAATTAGGCATTCCTTCACATGTTGGTGATAAATATAGCATTATATCTATGCTAAGAACATTTTTTTTTTGGCAGGCTGTGGTTATTGACGAAGTGGATACTTTTCTTTTTCGGCCTCATTTAGGACTACGTGCAAAGTACCATGCTGTATGTTCATCCTGTTCTTGTGCTAAAATGATATTAGAAAACTTGTAACATACAGTCTTTTCTACCAGTGTAGCATCAATTTGTTTTACTATCAGTAATAATAAATCATAAAAGTTTGAGAGTGAAGTGCCTAATTGTGGTAATGCTATTTAGTGGATTGTTTATATGTTATTATTGAGTCATCCAGATTAGGGAGAATATTTCATCTCTCTTCTTAAAACCATAGCAGGATCTCAGGAAATTACAGAGCACGTTCCTCACCACAGTAGGGCCCACCTTACTTGCAGTACGCTCTGGGACAAACAAATATTTTTCTTTGATTGGACTTGCTGTGTCAATTTATTTGGAATTGCTTGTGAGAATTAGAAGTTTGTCTCTGTATTACATATATTGTTTTGTTTACCAATATAATATTATCAGTGTGAGCTGGCCGCATTCTTATGTATATGAATTGACTGTTGATGTCTGGGTCTTATTTTTAAGTTCTGTCAGAGTCGCTGTTTAGAACTCAATCACTCAAACTAGTGATGTGATTCATTTTTTTTTTAAGTTCTGTCAGAGCCACTGTTTTGAACTCAATCACTCTAACTTGTCATATGATTCATTTTATTGATTGATTTTACCTGTGAACTTTCTGATATGCCCTTTGTCATATACAGATCAATTTTTTGAGCCAAATTCGTTTGAGTCAAAAAGGAGATGGACCAAAGGTGGCAAAACGTTTGATAGATGTATACTTTGCACTTTTTAAGGTATGCGTTGGTTTCTATTTAATTTACATGATTTAGTTTGTATGGCTGCATCCTGTGTCGTACTTGATGTAACTAACAACATGCATGAAGTTTTAGCCTCTTTTTTAGGCATGTGATTCTCTTATTAATATGTTTTGCTATCCTCCTGATTAGTGAAATTGTGAAAAGAATAGATTAGAATTTATAGTTAAAAATTTCAGGTGCTGATTACTGAGGCAGGTAGAAGTGTGCAGCTGGATAACAAAAGCAAGAAAGCAGTAAAAATTACTTCGAGTTCTAGGGAGAACAAACTAAAAGGTAGTGGAGAATCTCATGTTGAATTGGATTCAAGACTTCTGTCAGTTCTCCTAACGGTCAGTAGTGTCTATGTGAAAGTTACTATGCATAATTTTAGAGAAGATTTCAACATTTTCCAACTTTCACAACTTCTCCTTGTGCATATCCTCAGGGAATTAATAGAGCATTTCCTTATGTTTCAAGCAATGAAGCTGATGACATAATTGATATGCAAACACCAATGCTCTTCCAACTGGTAGGCTACAAAACTTGGCACTTCTTTATTATTATTAGACAGCCAGAACATTTGGTTGATAGATATCGTGTTTCTTGTCATTGTTGAGCATTACCATAATCATGGATCTTGTATGTTAAGATGGACATTAATTTTGCAGGTTCATTCCAAGAATTTCAATGTAGGAGTTCAAGCATTAATGCTTCTTGATAAAATCTCATCTAAGAATCAGGTTGTCAGTGATCGATTTTACAGGGCCTTGTACTCAAAACTCTTACTTCCTACTTCTATGAATTCCTCTAAGGCAAGTGAACTTGAGTTTGGTTAATTTTTGTTTCAATGCTATATGGTTGTGATCTGGTGCACATTGTTTGGCATCTGGGCTAGTCATTGACTTTGTAATTATCTGGATCATGTTTGTTTCTGATTATTATTTCTTCCAGTAGCATTAATATTCAGTTTATAGTTTATTAGCATAGAGGTGCTTTTGTGGATTCTATTACCTAAATGTTTTCTTCACATTTACATGGATATTTTTTCAGGCAGAAATGTTTATTGGACTTCTTTTGAGAGCCATGAAATGTGATGTCAATTTGAAACGTGTGTCTGCCTTCTCGAAACGTGTATTGCAGGTAAGTGATGCACTCCCTTTTCTCTTTGCTTGCTTCTTTTCTTTGTTGATGCTTCAAAGCATATAAGGATGACTGTTAAAGTACAATCCATTTTATTAAATTTTTTTATGGTGCATGAATGAATGTTGTGTAGGCATTTCCGCAAATATAATCATTTTCTTTTATGCCTTGTTGGCTACAATTGGCATAAGTGATTTTTGGAATTTTTTGTTTTATTCCCAGATTGCCTGTCTTTTCTGGTTGCCACTAAATGAGGCAGGATACATAGTTACAGAGCAGGACAGCATTTATTTTTGCACCATTTTAGATCTTTGTTTTAGTTTGTTGGATGTTAGTTTTTGAGTTTGTCTAACACGTATTCTATGACAGAACTGGGTGTTGTCTGATTTGTATAGCTTTCAGAGTGCATACATCTACAAAATTTAACAATTTGAATATGCCAGGTTGCACTTCAACAACCACCCCAATATGCTTGTGGATGCCTTTTTCTTATCTCAGAAGTTCTCAAAGCAAGGCCACAGTTATGGTAGGGTTGGTTTCAGTTAGATGTGCCATGCACCAAATTGTATTCTTTGTATTGAAGTTTCTCTCTTCCAAGCTAAAAGATTTTCCATTGTTCAGGAATATGGTGCTCCAGAATGAGTCACTTGATGAAGATCTTGAACATTTTGAAGATATTGTAGAGGAAACTGATACTGAACCTAGCTGTGCATCAAAGAAAGAAGAAAATAGTGCTGATGTTCATGGTGGTGAAGGTGCCAACTCTGATAGTGATTGTTCAGAAGATGAAGATGTCTTACCAACCAATTATTCTGATGATGATGGTTCTGATGATGCGGATGAGTTGTTTATAAGAGAGAGTCCAAATGATCTTCAGAAACCCAAAATGATATCTAATCAAAAAGTGCTAAAACCTCAAATATCTTCTACTCAGTCTTTCTTGCCCGGAGGATACAATCCAAGGCACAGGGAACCTTCTTACAGGTATGTTTCCTGTCATCTTTTTCTAACTTCTGGTGTTTTATACAGTTGCACTGCATATATCTGAGTATGTGTGACTGACTAATTGGTCCTCATGTAAATTGACATCATTATCCATACTGATATAAGAGAGTAAGATGTTTTTTGTGAATCAAGGCAGAGAGCAGCTGCAAAACAATTTTATGGTCTATGGCTTTTTCCTTTTAAATTTTTCATTTTATCAATTGGTCCAGGAATTTTACCTTTGACTTTCTTTTTTCTCTTCTTGGGTTTTCAGCAATGATTTTGTTCTTACTGTGACTTTGTGTATGTCAATGTCTCAACAGCAATGCAGATCGTGCAAGCTGGTGGGAGCTGATGGTACTTTCAACACATGTTCACCCCTCAGTTGCCACCATGGCTGCGACTCTTCTTTCTGGGGCCAATATCGTTTACAATGGAAACCCATTGAACGACCTATCACTTACCGCTTTTCTAGACAAGTTTATGGAGAAGAAACCAAAAGCAAGCTCATGGCATGGTGGATCCCAAATTGAACCTGCCAAGAAGGTTGGCTTAAACTTTTCATTCAAAGACATTTTGCTTTGAGGCTTTAGTCAGTATGTGGAACTTTCTGGTTTCTGTTCCATGCTATTGATTGATTAATTGAATTACCCCTATGGTGGAAGTGCGCAGCTGCCAATAACTTAAAAAAAGTGCTGACTTATTTTTCTGTTTTTTCAGCTTGATATGAGCAACCATTTGATTGGACACGAGATTTTGTCGTTAGCTGAAACAGATGTGCCCCCAGAAGATCTTGTCTTTCACAAATTTTATATGAATAAAATGAATTCCTCAAAGAAACCAAAGAAGAAGAAGAAGAAGAAAGGCGCTGAGGAAGAAGCTGCTGAAGAATTGTTTGATGTGGATGATGATTATGTCGATGGTGGTGATGAAAGTGATAACGAAGAGATTGAGAGTATGTTGGACTCGGCCAATCCTTCTCTAGATGCAGACGGGGACTATGATTATGAAGATCTAGACCAAGTTGCCGATGAAGACGATGATGATTTGATTGGTGATGCCAGTGATGCAGAGATGGACATAGCCTCTGATGATGCTGATGGAGAAGATTTTGTTTCCGGCAGCGGCGATGGTGGGATTGATGATGATGATGATGCCATTGACATTGGAAATGGAGATGATTTTAGCGATGATGAGGACGAGTTTAATCCAAGAAAAAGGAAACGAAAGTC